CCATACTGTGAAACATTCCAGACAAAGCAACAACATCTTCATGGAGAAAATAATTTGGCAGGTTTTCCACCAAAAAGTTACACAGTGCACCTTTAAAGTCGATGGTACTGAAGTCTTGATTTCAGAAACCTCGGGACCACTGCTGGACAAATGCACTGCACTCATTTTAATAATCATTAGTGGTTTAAAATACATGCAAAAAGACATTTTAGAGCAAAAGCAAAGATAATGGCAGTAAAAAGAAAAATATTCTTACTGTTCCACCTTGTGATGCCATGTAATACAATGTAATGTCATACAGAAAGTGCTTCATTGCCTTTTTAACTTGAAAACTACCACTTCATGACATCATCACGAGGTTGAACAGAGCATTTTGACCTTTGGAGATGTATACAGACTAACAATAAAGTTTTACCGTACTTTTGCTCCGGTTGCTCCGGAGTATAAGTTGAACTAGTCCAAAAATGAGTAATGAAGAAGAAAAAACATATATACGTGACACTTTTGGGGGGAAATGTATTTTATAAAATCAGAGACCAGTGTAACACAGGTATTTTTCTGTCCTTGGCCCTCTCTACCTTATATTTTGGCCGCCGTTGTTCTCAACTATCGCGAGACTAAGTGCGTCAAGCTCTTTAAACATGGCTGTGCGCACTCCCGTTCAGTCGTGTGTTTTGTGGGTCCTGGGTGTGACTGAGCTGCTGCAGGTAGAAGATTATCGCTGTTAAACTCACTGTTTTCGTTCTAAATGTATGTCAAAGTAACTGTTATGCCATCAACTTCTCTAGATGCCTCTTGCCTTCGTAACGAAGTGCTGTCGTGACTCTCCAGAAACTGGATGGCGAGCTAAGGCCTAGAGGCCGAACCAAACTCAGAGTGCAAGCATCTGCCGGTGCGGTAGGAGGCGTAGCAGCCACTCAACCCCACACACACTCGCACACCCACTGCCCCCTGCTGTGGGCACTGGGCCCCTCATTGACTTTGCTGGGAATCACCCACCTTACCATAACCATCTCCGGAACTCTCTTTTGTGTTTTTTCGACCCTCGTGTGGATTATAGTAACTTTTGTTGCTGCTCAACTAAACAACAGAACAGAACAAGTTTACCAAACTCTCCATCTCACTCCAAATCACTAAATCCATTCAATTCTTTATCCTCGTTGTCACTTTGAACAACTCGGCCTCGACCTCCAGAGGTAAACGAGGCTTTGTCCATCCATCCAGTGACTTCAGGAAAGTTGCATGGTGCATCCTCCTTTCTTTCTGCTGCTCGATTACTGTTTTCAGCTGCAGATTTCACGACTTGCAGTTTGTAATCTGTAAAATATGATTTTCTTTTGGGGGGCATTTGTGTTCAGTCTTCTCACTCGTCTTTATAAGTTTGTTTAAATGTTAAATTGTTCAGTGGTGCAGAAGTAATGTTGTGATCGACTGACATGATACAGACAGGACAGAGGCTCTTTCTGCAGGAGACATGTGCAGTAGAGTGAAGTGACAGTGGTACAGGAGGAACAGGAGCAGCAGATACTCACACACAAGACTAGAACCTCTCACCACTTCAATGTGAACATTTATATATATAAGTCACATGGAAGTATAAGTCGCAGGAAACACCCAAACCATGAAGAAAAAGTGTGACTTATAGTCCCAAAAATACAATACTTAAAGTTGGACAGTGTAACGTTTCTGCTGGAAGGACATCTGCTCGTCTCCATGGAAATGCTCATCCCGAAATGCCCCATAGTACGGCATTAAACATGGAGGTGAATCTACTAGGCCAAGTTACAGGTCAGATCTGTGGATAAGTGACTCTGCTCTCAGTAAGAATGTTTTTTAGGACAATAAAAGAAATTAATAAAACCTGAAATTGAATAAATGCAAGTAAAAATACCACTACATGACATCACAAGGTGGAGCAGAGCATTTTGAGCTTTGGAGATGTAGACTAATAATAATAATAAAGAATTACTCAAACATGTGTGAATGAAACAAAACACAACTCCAGGTCTGTTTTTTCAGGAGGGAACAACATTCTAACGTGGTCGGAGCACAGAGAAAATGGGTCTGTGTGTTTTCGTACTTGTTTTTGTATGGATTTGTGTCTGATTATTGCCTTTTTCACAGTCTTACACAGCAGAATGTTTTTGCTCTTTGCTTTTCAAAAGTTTCAAGATCAAGTAAACCATTTTTGATCTTCTGAATTATTTTTCTGAACATATTTGGGTAGAAACACAAACTTGTCCGCTTTGTTTTTCGTCTGCGCAAATGAGTCAAACTTTCCACATTTTGCACTTTTTACTTTTATGCCTTGGTAGATATTCTAATCATTTTAAAAGCTGCACTGTGTAATTTTTTTAGTTGGGGGTCTGTCATCTTCTTGTTTCTATGGAGATGTCATTGCTCTGCTTCAATTGTTCCACAGTGTGATATTAAACAGCTTTACTTTACATTTATTCAATTACAAATGGTTTTAGAGCTCAGAAATACCTTGGAAAAACAGATTCTGACTGGGAGCGGGGTGCCTCTCCACAGATCTGACCTGTAACTTAGTCTGGTTTGGTCTCCATGAAGATAGAAAGGTTTAATGCTATAGTGTGAAATATTCCAGACAAAGCAATAACATCTCCTTGGAGAAAAGCTGATGCCCCACCAGAAAAGTTGCACAAATGAGTCAGTTATATACAGAGGTGGGTAAAGGAGCCAAAATGTTTTATTCAAGTAATGTTACTTCACAATAATATTACTCAAGTTGAAGTATAAACTAGTGGTCCAACAACTGAAAAAAAGAACTTTGGAAAACTTCAACTCTGTACATTAAATCAAGAACAAAATCTGGTATCTTCAAAGTCAACAAAAAAATTGGACAAATTCAAATATCATACTGTATCTGCAAGAAATACAAATGTTCATATCATTTCATATTATCGACATAAAGCTTTTATCACTTGTAGACCAAAAGTTTTACTCAAGTAAGAGTACTGGTATTTTAATTAAATATTAGTAAAAGTATTCTATCATGTAAATGTCCTACCGATCTCTGTGTTTATATTCCTATATTACGCAAAATGGACTCTTGTGAGCTTACAGTCATGTTATAATGGGGTTTTCTCCTCAGAATCAGACCTGGAGTTTTGTTTTGTTTCATTCACATGTTTGAGTAATCCTGCATTATTAGTCTGTGTACACCTCCAAAGCTCAAAATGCTCTGTTCCACCTTGTGATGTCACAAAGAGGTAGTTTTCAAGTTAACAGCTCCTTTTATGTTTTGTTCAGTAGCAATTGTGTAATTCCTGGGCTGAAATTATGTTTTGAAGTGTAACAGGGCTATGGTATCGTTCCTCTGTCACTTTAATGCGTGTGGTTTTTCTTTGTGTGGGTTTTTCTTTTCTTTGGTGTGGACCAATGGCCATATAATTGGCAGCTGGGGGGCAGTGCCTATAGTATATAAACCCTGTAGACCTTTTCCCCTCTCTCTCACACCTGGTTGTCATCTGTTCAGGTTGGCACAAAGCAGCTAACTACATGGCACTTAGGGGATGCGCTAAAGGGATTAAGGTTAAATAGTTTTAACTTGTTTCATGTTTTAATTGCTCTCTTTCTCTCACACCTGGTTGTCACCCGTTCAGGAATTCTGGGCAGTCTGAAGACTCATCGGCCACTCCTTGGGTGAAACTGGGGCACGCTGGGGATAAAGCACCACACCAGCTGTGCCAGCCGTCATTTGCCTGCCACAGAGTAACGTTAGCTGACCGAAAGCCCAGATCTCTGGACTAGCTCTAAGTTTTCAACCTTTTTATGAACTCAATGGACTTGTCCCACTCCTGTGACCTGTTTCCCCCTTTTAAACTCAAACTCTGCAGATTATTGTAATAAAATCCTTAAAACTGAACTTGGTTGTCCATAGTTCTCTGGTGATCCAGCATACCTGTTTTGCAGGGTGGTCAAGCCCCTTGGGGGCGTTACAGAAGATTAAGGTTACGTTTATATGATGATGGTCTGAACAGAAGACACAAAGGTGGCGTAGCGTCTTCACTTTTTATTCCACGTTTAGACAAGTGGAAATCTGTGAATACGGTGAAACAAAAGTGTGTGGAATTGGATTGGGTGCATGCCAGGCGGCTCAGTGGTGATGTATGTGACATAAACGTGTATGCGACGTGAGCAGATCTGACCAGAGTTTTGCGTCTTGGGCAGTGTAGACGGAAACACTACAGCGGCACTTATTCAACTTTTCCACACTGGAGGGTGGTTTCAGATTTTTGTGATTTTAAGCCCCAAAAACGCTGTCACCATCTAAACGAAAGAGACTTCTGATAAAATATTTAGTTGGTTTTACTGGCAAGCATTCTTGTGTAAACAGGCCCTAAAATGTTTGTTTCATATTCACTTTGCACCAGAAGTGGTTTCACAAAGACTTTTAGTATCGCAGCCATGATTTAGCCTTTATTTTTTATTGAACCGTATGGAATTGATTTGAAATATATCGTATTGAACTGTATCGAGATATGTATCGTATCGTGGCTTATGTATTGAGGTATGTATCGTATCAGCAACTTCTGAATGATACCCTAGAAACAACATTAGAACACAGATCACTAAATGTCTTTTATCATAGCAGAATAAGTAAACCAATGCATGTACTATATTCTCCTTTGTCCAGTGTGAAGCCTGAGAACTGCCTTTAGGACCTGAATACATAAAGAAATACAAAGAACAGTGCTCCATTGTTGTGTTTATCACCAGTTACGTTATTCATCTTTTAAGCATGTATGCAGACGCAAACACAACTATACTGATTTGTGTTTGTCACGCACCTCAGTTCTTCTCAGTCTTCTTTTGTGCGTCTTTATGTTTTGTTCAAAGCTTTTACATGATAGAGCACCAGGAGCAACACATAATCACAAAGATAGTCAGAAGAGTTCATTGTATTTTATAGTTTTGTTTTATTATAATCAGCAAAAATCTACACAGCAGATCTTAATGGAAAGGCAACAGTCTCCAAATACTAAATCAATTCCAAAAAAAAAAAAAAAAAAAAAACCTGGTGAATCTGACATTACCACTTGAATCTTGGAAATCTTAATCATGAATAAAAAAGGCAACAGAAGACATGGTGGTAAAGTAAAGTAAAATTATACAATTAATCTACTGCATTTCTGAGATTTATAGAGTAGGTTTTCAATATTTTGGGGACTTGACAAAAATCATATCATGGACTTTAGCTTAAAAAAATGCTCCATTATGTCACAAAACCGGAAGACGTTTGGAAACATGCAGATGACGACTTCTTTTGGGCTTTTTTGGTGATAGTAACTTTAAGAAAACTGAGAAAATGGGCCAGTTTTCTTGATTTAGACGTCATTGTATTCTTTCTTTTTTTCCTTTTAGAAATTTCCTATTCATTTGTCTCACTTAATCTGCGGAACATAAAGAAACGCTAAAATTACATCTTTTTTTGACTAACAGTTCCAACCAGTTTGTTGCCATGGAAAACTTTGTCAGGTTGTGAAGACGCTGCTCCTGAATCCATGGTTTTATCACAAGCCCACTGTCGGGAACTACACCGGAAGTCGTCATCCACATGTTTCCAAAAGTCTTCTGGTGAGTGTGAATAGAGTCTACTGAAATACAACATAAAATCACTACTTCTGTGTTTCAAAGTTTTAGTACATTGGGTTGAATTCTTATCAAATATTACAAAAGTGAAATTATATAATGTGTAAATTTTTTATCTGATCATGTGGAATTGAACTGTTTCAGAAACATTCAGTAAAAGCGTTTCCAGTCTGGGTCCTTACTTTACAGAAAATTGAGGTAACAATTTAGTTTAGGGACCACAAATTAAAGGTGGAGGGTCCGCTACCTGCTTGTCTCCATGAAGATGTTACTGTGTTCCCTGGAATGTTTCATGTTATGAACATCTAGCATTTATTATGGGTGTTTCTATTGCTCAAAATATAATAATTCCTTCTGTGAATAGGGCAGACTCTCCACAAATCTGAACTGTAATGTAGCGTAGTGGCGTCTCACTCAGGATAGACGGGTTTAATCTATACTGTGGAACATTCTACATTAAACTATAACATTTCCATGGAGACAAGCAGGTGGTGGACCCTCCACTGGAAATGTTATGCAGTACACCTATGCATATCAAGATAATATTTCAGATAGTATAAAAAAAAAACACGATTAAGAATATGGTGGAAAACATTTTTGTGAAATACATAATAATACTTTATTATCAGCAAAGATCTAATTAACCACTTATGATGTATTCACTTTTGCCCAATTACCACATTAAAGGTCCTATATTACACAAAAATGACTCTTGTGATACGTTTTATGTTATAATGTTGTAACCTCATCAAAAACAGAGTTGTGTTTTGTTTTATTCACACACACATTTGAGTAATCGTGGATTATTACATCTCCGAGGCTCAAAATGCTCCGCTCCACATTGTGATGTCATGAAGCTGCTCCATTTATCTTTAGTTCAGTACAGACTGCAATTCCAGGGCTGAAATGATCCAAATGATTCCAGCAAAAGTGTATGGAGTTTAAAACCACAGTGGAGCACTTCCTGTATTACATTCATCAGTATTAGTTTGTTCAGTTTGAGAGAAGCACTCCGCCTAAATATACAGTATTTGTATGTTAAATGTGTGAATGAAACAAAACACAAGTCCAGGTCTGTTTGTTTGTGATGAGGAAACTACATTATAAGAGAGATCAGAAAATAGTGTAATAAGGACCATTTAAACTAAACTGGAACTAAACTTGGAACTAAACCAAGGCTAGACAAGAACTAAACCAGGACTAAAGCAGGACCAGATCAAATCTACATTAGAACTTCAACTGTGCCCAAACCCAAAGTGTGAAGACACCATTAGTCTGCGTATTACTCCTAATCAGCCTTAAGTATGTTGTCCCTAAACTAAAGTGTTACCAAAATAGAAAAACATCATCAAGAATAATTACGTACATCCTGTTTTGAGTTTGGAGTTTGTTTATCACACAGAGTCTATTTCGGTGCAGTGAAGTGTATGTGACACAGGATGAAGCTCTCTTGTGTTCACAGGGCCTGTCTGATCGTCTCCAGACTCTTCTCGATGTTTTCCAGCACCTCCACCGCTGCCTGTGGGATTCTGGTGCCAGGACCAAAGATGGCGCAGACTCCGCTCTCGTACAAGAACTCGTAATCCTGCAAATAGAAACAAAGCAACAGTATAAGAAAAGGAAATGTATATCCTATATTATGCAACAATGACTCTTGTGAACTTTAAGTCATGTTATGATGCTGTTTCCTCCTCAAAAACACACCTGGAGTTGTGTTTTGTTTCATTTACACATGTTTGAGTAACTCTTTATTATTAGTCTGTCTACACATGGCATTGAGATGTCATGTGGTAATACAAGAAGTGCTCGACTGTGTTTTTAAACTCCACACTCCTTCACTAGAATCATTTGGATGATTTCAGTCTCTACTAAACAAAAGGTAAAAGGAGTTGTTAATTACCATTTGATGACATGACAAAGTGAAGCAGAGCATTTTGAGCTTTGGAGATGTAGACAGACTAATAGAGATCCTGCATGTGACATCACGGCCTTGCCCTGATCCACTTCCAGCGAGCCAGACCGCCAATCGACTGCCATTGTACTTAGATGTACATTGTACACTGAACTCAGATAGATTCCTTTTGCAACTGAAGGAACATCAGGGACATCGGTCTGACCCTGTCCAGGTCCGTATGGGATGGCGTCTGGACTTTTTTTTTTTTTCCTTGAGGCTTTTTAAGCAGCTGTGATGGGTTAATCGGGTGGGCACCCCCCGTATTTCGCACACTGGCTGCCATAAATCGGGGAATTTATGACCCGACAACAGACAAGCCATGTTACTAGAATGCTAGCTACAGTCGTCAGGGCTGTCGATATGGCGGGCGAAACAAAAACGGTCACATGATTGCAGGTTCTCTATAAACCAGAATTGCTCAAATGTGTGAAAGAAACAAAAGCTCACAAGAGACAATTTTGTGTAATATAAGACCTATAAGAGATCAAACTGTAATAATGATTATAGTATGATTAACTGAGACATTGTCAATAATGTGATCCTTCCATGTCATTTTATTGCTATTTGTATGTTCTATAACTAATAGAGGTGTAACAATAACCAAAGTATCATGATATCGTGATGAGTTTCTTTGCTTAAATTCATTGTTATGATGCAGCAATAGCCAGTGTTGGGGAGGAACAGATTACATGTACCGGTGTTACGTAATCAGAGTACAAATTATGAGTAACTGTATTCAGTTACAGTTACTGTTTCAATGAGGATGGATTACATAGTGGTATGTTCCTGTTTTCACATTTTGAGCTAAACCAGGACTAAAACAAGGACTAAATAATTTCAGGCAGCAGTGATCTCATAGAAATAATTTATATCTATCAATAATATTAATATGTTTAAGGAAAGTCTGGGCTTTTTATTTTGTTTTAGCAAACAAAACATCTTACGTTAACAGATCCTAGTCTTTGCTTCTCTACAGTACACTGGCAAAGGTTTAAAAAAAAAGAGGGAACTACAGCAACCATGATCATTTGCTCTGTTTTGGTGCAAACTACATAAAGAAATAACAGTTTTAAGCACTTTTAAGTAACATGTTCACAATTTTGTTTGCCTCCACAAAATATCGCAATAAATACCATACCGTGAAATGTATATTGTGAAACTATTGTACCATGAGATTTAGATTTTTTTTTATCGTTACAGCTCTAGTAACTATGTGTTAAACTGCTGCTTCTTGGTCAGGACTCTCTTGGTTGAATATAGGGTAAAGGTGTAACTTTTTGGCTGGAAGGTCTGTTACCTGCTTGTTTCTATGGACATGTCAGCTCTACTTTACATTTATTCAACTACATGCGGTTTTATAACTCAAAAATACCTAGAAAAACAACATTCTGACTGGTCTCTACAGATCTGACCTGTAACTTGGTCTAGAAAGGTTTAATAAATACCATACTGTGAAACATTCCGGACGAAGCAATAACGTCTCCGTGGACTAACGCGTTTGACGGACCCTCCACCAGTTAAGTTACACAATGCACGTTTAAATGAAAAATAATATTAACTCTGCTACACAACCACTCAGTCTAAAATCATACGAGCGGCTGTAGCGCTTGGAGACATCGCAGTGTACGGTTAATTAAATCATACACAATAAAAACATACAGTGTGAACCCTATTGCTCGTATTCAAAAGTACAGGGACCTCTAATTACCACACGCTGAACACTCTGTCCCCTTATAATGAATAAAATATGGGCTATATACAGACGCCAAAGTAGCAGTAACCAATTATACGCAGCACAAGCTTATCTTAGCTATACAGAAGCTTTGTCAAGAGCACTGCTGAATTCTGGGAAAAAATGATAAGGGGGAGTAAGTCTGGATAGCAATCACTTATGTGTCTACAATCATGTCAACAGGGTTATTCTCTCCGCTTCTGAACAGGGCTGGAGAAGATACACAGATAATGACAGTGGTTAGTTTGAATGGCACAGGAGACACAACAAAGGAAAGTTATCTGTTTGCACATTTTTTCTCGGTATAGTAATTTAGAGCTCGTTTTATGAAATGTTATAATTATGTAAATGATTGTGCTGTGTTCCGAACAGAAGCAGAGTAGTACAATTGATCTGGTGGGATGGTTCATTGTGGTCAGTCGTGCTTGCCCGTCTTCTCGGCTCGTGTATGTTCTTTTTATTATTTTTTAGACAATAGAATATAATTTTCAACACGCCATATTGATTTTTCTTTCATGGGCCCATATTACGCAATTTTCTGATCTATTATCATGTTGTTTCCTTGTCAAAAACAGACCTGGAGTTGTGTTTTGATCCTTTCACACATGTTTATTTAACTCATAAACCCTGCAGATTTTTAAGATGAGTTCTTGTCTCAAACAGAAAACGCTCCACCGCTGTGTTTTGTGTTGTTCAACTCCACACACCTTCACTAGAAACATTTGGATTGTTTCAGGGATGGAACTGCCAATCTCTAATGAGCACAAGGTGAAGATAGCTGTTATCTTAACTACCACTTTATGACATCACAAGGTGGAGCAGAGCATTTTGAGCTTTGGAGATGCCGACAGACTAATGTTACTAAAAAGGATTACTCAAACATGTGTGAATAAAACAAAAGACAACTCAAGTTACACACACACAAATACTTAGCCCAAAATATATTGTTCAGCATCTGTAATTTATTGAAAGACAAATTGAATGAGTGAAAAAAGTCCTAGCAAGTAATACTCCATTGATGTTGTTGTTTCTTTTGTTTCAACAAATTTTACTAAACAAAATAATAATTTACTAATTAAGTCCCATATTACCATATTTTTTTGGACTACAGTCACACTTTTTTCATGGTTTGGGTTTTCCTATGATTTATACTCTGGTGCGTCTTATATATGAAAATGTTCACACTGGAGCCTTGAGAGGTTCTAGTCTTGTGTGTGAGACTATCTGCTGCTCCTGTTCCTCCTGTACCACTGTCACTTCACTCTACTGCACATGTCTCCTGCAGAAAGAGCCTCTGTCCTGTCTGTATCACGTCAGTAGATCACACCATTATGCACCACTGAACAATTTGACATTTACTTGACTTCAGTAACAACTGAAACCATCCTGTCAGAAAGACCGGAATAATTCTAACTAGAACTGATGCTGAGTCTGACGACCGCGACACAGAAGAGGAAGCGTCGCTCTGTTTACCTCTGGAGGTTGAGGCCGAGTCGTTCAGAAGTGACACCGAGGATGAAGAATTGAATGGATTTAGTGATTTGGAGTGAGATGGAGAGTTTGGTAAACTTGTTCTGTTCTGTTGTTTATCTTATAGTTTATCTGAAGAACTGTTCATATGTGACGTTAACAGTTTGTTGTTCTCTCTTCTATTGTTATTACTAGAACTTGACTTTCAAGATCAAATGTCGGTTTCTGGTCTCTGATTTTATAAAATTAATTTCCCCCAAAAAGTGTGACTTATAGTCCAGTGCGACTTATAAACGTATTTTTCTTCTTCATTACGCAGTTTTTGGCTGCTGCGACTTATTCTCCAGAGTGACAAATACGGTACTCAAAATTGACCCCTGTGAGCTTTAAGTCATGTTATAATGTTGTTCCCTCCTCAAAAACAGATCTGGAGTTGTGTTTTATTTCATTGGCACATGTCTGAGTAACTCTTTTAACTCTGTCTACATCTCCAAAGCTCAAAATGCTCTGTTCCACCTTGTGATGTCATGAAGCGGTCATTTTCAAGTGAACATCTCCTTTTATATTTAGTTTAGTAGAGATTGGCAATTCCAGGTCTGAAATTATCCAAATGATTCCAGTGAAGGTGTATGTAGTTTAAAAATGCAGTGGCGCACCAGAAGAAATCGTAAATCTGCAGGGTTTGTGTGTTAAAAATGTGAATGAAACAAAACACAACTCCAGGTTTGTGACAAAGAAACAGCATTAGAACATAAAATAGAGTACTACAGGCTCTTTAAAGTGAAAGTCCGTGCTAGTCCTACTCCATTGTAGTTGTTTGTTTTGTTTCAGATAATTTTGTTTAATTTGCAGTCAAGTTTAATCTCTCCGCACAGAACGTTGTGTTGTTCACCACTGGAAATGGTTTCAAATCGCTTCGGCTTGGTTTCTTGTTTTCAGTAATTTGCCGCTCTGGTGCAGCCTCTCAAAACCTCAATCCGTGAAGTCTTTAAAGAGGAAACTAATGCATATGACTCTGCAGTGTAACTAAATGAAGCGCTCACATGGGGAAAAGAACCACTGAAAATTCCATTGATAATCTGTAATTAGTCAATGTTGATGGATTCAGGGCAAATGTATTTAAAAGGTCCTGTATTACACAGAATTGACTCTTGTGAGCGCTTGGCCATGTTATAATCTGTTACCTCATGTGCTGTGCTTCATTCACACATTTTTGAGTAACACTTTATCATTAGTCTGTTCACATCTCTAAAGGCCAGCTCACATCGAAACGCGGCACGCTGAGTTCACGGAGCTTAAAAAGGCTTTAACACAACTCTCGCTGTGTTATAAATTTGCATTTTCTCTGCAGATTACTTATAAAATAAAAGACACAGTGCGAGGCTTTGAGAAGAGAGGAAAGGTGCTGATTTGAGGAGGTCATATTGAGTTGAGCGAGAGGAGAAAAGTTTCCCCGCATGGAGAGAAGCAGGAGAGGAAGAGGAGAGGAACAGGTGTTCTGCCGAATTGAACAGCGGGGCTTTCTTTACCGCATCATGACATCACAAGATAATAATAATAATAATACAGGATTACTCAAACATGTGTGAATGAAACAAAACACAACTCCAGGTCTGTTTTTCATGAGGAAACAAGATTATAAGATGACTTAGTTTAGAGATTGTTTTCAAGTTACTACAGTTTACCTTTAGTTCAGTAGAGCCTGACAATTCCTGATCTGAAATCATCCAAATGATTCTAGTACAGGTGTACGGAGTTTAAAAACACAGTGGAGCACTTCCTGTATTATCACATGACATCACAAGGTGGAACAGTGTTTTCTGTTTGCGAGAAGAACTCAGCCTGAATATGCAGTGTTTGTGTGTTAAACATGTGTAAATGAAACAAAATGCAACTCTAGGTCTGAACAAAATGTAGCCCTTACTGACAAATATAAAGGTGGGCAAGATATAAACCCGAGGCACACCGACTCAATATATTAAAAGTCCTTTATTAAATGTTTCAACCAGCAAGATGTTCTTCATCCGTGCATAAGGGTCAAACAGGTCTCACAGGTGTCATTAAATACAGTGACATTGCCATCATGTGACAACATCATATGACTATAGGAAAAAGAATCCAAAAAGGTTGGTCAACCACGAGGAATGTATAGGTGACGGGCAGATCCACAGAACAGAAACAACATACACATGACATGTTGGAGATAGGTAGGAGTGTTCACCACATATGCAATAATAAATATACAAGTAAACAATCTGACACAATCTGACACCACTGGACCACAAATCAAAACATCATATACATTAAGAAACAGTTTCTTAATGTATATGAAACTGTTCAGCAGAACACTGAATAATCCAAATCGTCATTTCGGCCCAGATGTTGTGTGGACTTTAAAGTTACAATCCAAAAGGTTTCTTTTTGAGACAATTGACAGTTGGCCAACCTTTTTTGTTTCTTTTTCCTATCGTCATGTGACGTTACCACATGATGTAATGTAACTGTATTTAATGACACCTGTGTGTCCTGTTCTACACTTACGCCCTGAAGAAGACCATCTTGCTGTTCAAAACGTGTTGGCATCCCTCCATGTAAAGGACTTTCTAATCTATTCAGTTGTTGTGCGTCGGGTTTGTAACTTGCTCATCTTCACATTTTTCAGTAAGGACTACTTTTTGTTCCAATTTCAAGTTTAACCCTCGTAGAGCACCAGTACTGCTACTTTTGAATTTTTTATGACCCAGTGAAGCGCTCTTCTTCATCTGACATCTCCAGGTCTGTTTGTGATGAGGAAACTACATTGTAAGATACAGTAGATCAGAAAACAGAGAAATATGGGCCTTTTTAACCTTGACATCCCTAGACTCAGTGTTGGGACTATTACCCATAATGCTCCACTTACCTGAGGTGGAATGACCCCTCCGCAGATCACCAGGATGTCGGGGCGGTTAAGTTTGCGCAGTTCTTTGATGAGTTCAGGGACCAGAGTTTTGTGTCCGGCCGCGAGAGTGCTCACGCCGACACAGTGAACGTCTGCGTCCACGGCCTGCTGAGCCACCTCCACCGGAGTCTGAGAGGAACACAACTCACAATCAAAAACAAATAACAAGGAATACAAGCTACATGAGCAGGAAGCAGAGGTGGAAGAAGTACTCAGTTATGTTAGTTAAAGGTGCATTGTGTAACTTTTCTGGTGGAGGGTCTGTCAAATGCTTTTCTCCATTGGGAAATGTTATTGCTTTGTCTGGTATGTTTCACAGTATGACATTAAACCTTTCTATCACCACGGAGACCAAACCAAACCAAGTTAAAGGTCAGATCTGTGGACACGTATTTTTGAGCTATAAAACCAAAACTGTAATTGAATAAACATAAGATAGATCTGTTTAAAGTCATACTGTGGAACATTCCAAGCAGAGCAATGGCATTTTCATAGAAACAAGAAGGTGACGGACCCCCTAACAAAAAGTTACATAGTGCACCTTTAAGAGGACAGATACCAGAGCAAAAAAATAAAAGTACCACAGGAAAAAAAAAAACAAAAAAAACCTACTGAAGTAAAAGTATAAAAAAAAAAAAAAATGTTTAAAAATGTACTTGAAGAGTAAAATGTATTTTGAGATCTAATAAACCTTTGAATATGCTCATTTTGACTGTCAAGTACTTTTATCCTATATAGTACACTTTTTAGGTATTTGTACTTTATTATGTTCCACCACTGGCAGGATGCAAGATTCCTAGTTCCTATTTGCTCCTATAACTGCCAGCCTTTGTGAGCTTCATTTGACTGGAGCTGAACGCTGTGGGTGACGTCACACTCACTAGTAACTCCATTTCTTTATACATTATATGAGTAAACCATTTTCTAACCATACGACCCATGTGCTGCAGCTGCAATGAAGTAATAGCCTTGAATCCTGTTTGTTTTTGAAATATAAGTGGATATATGACAGGCCTCTTCACTACTACTTCACCCTACTACGTATTACTATAACATATATTATTCATTGAGTCCTCTGTGTTGCATCAGTGTGCGGTTTTATATGTGGAGGGCAGAGACAGCGTGGCTTCTATTCTGCTCTGTACAGAATTTACAAAGAGGTTAGTATGGTAAAAAAAAATCTGTATTCATACTGCATCTAACTGTGCCTCTGGATCAGACCCTGAAAAGCCACACTACATTTATACGGGGCAGACTAACGACAGTAAAGACAGTATAAGGCTATGGTATTAACATATTATAGTATCGGGAAACTGTTTTGAAGAGAAAAAAAATTTAAAATCTGGTAACGTATGTTGAAACTGAAATAGAAAAAGATGGAGTCCACTCCCCATTCTGACATTCCTTCATTACGACATGTCTCTATTTAGACATGCCAGTTTTCCAACAGTTTTTAGTATCTCTATTCTGACATGTCATACAGTCACTGACAAAAGTCTTGTCGCTTGGGTGCAAGTTGACCTTTAGCTTCCATATGAGCCATTTTTAAAACCAAAGGATTAATTCAAAGTCAGGTTATTATTAGCTGTTGTGTCTACAAAATGGATAAATGACAAGACTTTTGTCAGGGACTGTATTTGGAGTGTCCAAATTGCAATGTGTAGCCAAGCTTGGCCATTAGTCACCTACATTTAATTGATTTGGCCAAAAGAAATAGGGGCCTAATGCGTATACAATCAAATTTCATCGTCATATATGTGTATGTGTACCGTATTTTTCAGACTATAAATTACGCTTTTTTTCATGGTTTGGGTGTTCCCTGCGACTTATACTCCAGTGCGACTCATATATTACAATTTTCAGCCATGAGAGGGCGCTCTAGGCTCCTGTGTCAGTATCTAGACTCCTGTACCATTGTCACTTCGCACTCTACTGTGCATGCCTCCTGTAGAAAAAGCCACTGTCCTGTTGCAAATAGTGAAATATTCAGCAGAAAACGGTAATCGAGCAGCAGAAAGAAAGTTTGGAGTGAGCGAGGAACTTGTGAGGGACTGGCAGAAAGCAGGGATGGAGAACACAGCTTCATGCAACCAGGCGGGTGCACCATGTAACTTTCCTGGAAGTCACTGGATGGATGGACAAAGCCTGAACTTCAATGACAATTGAAACCATCCTGTCGGGATTCAGAAAGGTCGGAATAATACTAACTGAAAATGATGCCAAGTCTGACGACAAATATGCAGGAGAGGAAGCGGCGCTCTGTTTACATCATGGATCTATGGTTTATCTCTGGAGGTCGCGCAGAAGTGACACCAAGGATGAAGAATTTAATGGATTTAGTGATTTGGAGTGAGTTTGGTAAACTTATGTTATGTTGTTTATGCTATAATTATCTGAAGAACTGTTTATATGTTACATTAACATATTAACCTGCTGTTCTTTATTCTGTTGTTATTACTATAACTTGCCTTTCAAGATGAAATGTTGGTTCCTGGTCTCTGATTTTACAAAATACATTTCCCCAAAAAGTGCGACTTATATATGTTTTGTTCTTCTTCATTGCGCATTTTTTGGCTGGTGCGCCTTATACTCCGGAGCGACTTATAGCACAAAGGGCCCATGCAACCTCTGTTTTAGATTATTTTTTTCTCGAAGGCTGGCCTATGCTCTTTTTTGAAATGCAAGACTGTTTCCCATGACAATCAGTTAGGACATTTTCCCACTGTCTGATCTCCTCTGTGGCCCAAGTCTAAAGAAGTTCATTTGGTCTTCTGATATTTTATGTAATTCAGTTCTTTTTTCAGACCAAGGGTTTGTTTTCATACCTGACAGTTTCGACTGCTCACTAGCGCTCTTCCTCAGAGTGACCTCACGTGAGCACTTTGAGGAAGAGCACTAGTGAGCAGTCGAAACTGTCAGGTATGAAAACAAACCCTTGAATTATGTGGCCCAAGTACTCTCTAATCAAGTGCTGTATAAAAGACTATCATAGTAATTAGGGGTGTCAAATTATCGCGTTAATTGCGATTAATTAATTACAGTCATATTTAGCGCGAAATGTTTTTTAATTGCGTTAATCTCATTTTTAATCTCTAACTTTAGTGTTTCTGTATGCGAGTTGCTTTATTATAAAACCTGTTTTTATGTGTTGTTGGGACAACAACAACACACACACACACAAAAAAACACATTTATACATTTTTTTATTTCGGTAATTCCACTCATTGCCGGAAACCCACACAAAACGCGCGCAGTAACAGCGATGTAAACGTCATGTTCACGTTTGCGGCGTCAGTCACACAATTGACGAGGTCGAAAAGCCAGTAGAACAGGTGCACAGGTAAAAACACATTCGTGTCTTGGAAATTCTTCTCCCGACGTGAAATATAAAAGAAAATAACAAATATAAAATCGCCTACAACTTAAATGTCACTGGTGAAAACAACCTGCATAGACTCATGATGTCTGCACTACTGTCCTATAGTGACCTGCCACATGAGGGGACACGCACACACACACACACACAACACACACACAAACACACACAAACACACACCTTCATCATCGTCATTAACCTGAGAACGCGCGGACCACGTTTCCTTCCGTAGTTACTGCGCGGACATCGACTGTGCTCCCGTGAGCCGCGTGTGGATCGTGTTTTCTCGCGTACGCTGCGTAAACCGCGCTTCCTCCTGTGCGCCTCTAAACCAGAACTAACACCAAGACTAAAACCAGGACTAATCCAGTCCAGGACTAAACCAGGTCTAAACCAGGACTAAAACCAGAACTAAAACCAGAACTAAAACCAGAACTAAAACCAGGTCAAAACCAGGTCTAAACCAGGACTAAACCAGAAATAACACCAGGACTAAAACCAGGATTAATCCATTTCAGAACTAAACTAGGACTAAAATAGGACTAAAGCAGGTCTAAACCAGGACTAAAACAAGGACTAAAACAAGGACTAAAACCAGTGATCTCATATATAAAGCATTTCTCTATCAATAATATTTTTAATATGGTTAAGGAAAGACTGGACTTTTTATTGTCTTTAAGTAGACAAAAGTTATTATGTTCAGATTTCCTCGTCTTTGCTACTTTACAGCAAACAGTTTCTTATTCATGGAGACTTGGGCTCAACAACCAATTTGAGAGATTTGTTAAACAATAAATGACTTTATAAAGTCACTTTTTTTGTTCTATATCAGTCTTTTGATCTGCCACAATAATGTAATAATGAATTTAAATGAAAATACCTCAAATTGAAGGCTTTTCTCAGCAATTTTTAGGTGAGATTAAAATGAGATTAATTAGATTAATTAATTACAGATCATAATTAATTAATCTCTCAATTTTTTTAATCGCATGACAGCACTAATAGTAATATTATTCATGTTGGAAAAACGGAATGTTCAAAAAATAGTAAAGTGCTGCTACTCTGACAATTAAATAAAAAAGTCACAGTAGTGTGACACTTGATAATTAATGTATATGCTGCTGCTCCGACAATTGGACGTCAGTGTCTAAATAGCGGCATGTCTGAATACGAGAAAACGTTTTTGTTTACATCTGACTTTTCCATATGTGCACAGTGGCTGGTAGGAAATATTTGTGTTGACACTTGCGTTGCGTACTGTATGTCTGTCATGAGATAACTCTATCTATTAATAACTATTTTGAAGTAGGTTTTGCATTTAATTTCTCTAAGTCACTGAATGTTGAGGATCAAAAACATTACTTTGAAGAGTTCAAACTCGCTGATAACTGTTGACAATGCTGATGCTGACTTGTTGATATGGACGCTTTTGCCAACCAAAATGGCTGACGTGATGTCATCGTGCTTTCTCGTATAGCAGCATGTAACAGAAAAAGATGCGAAACCGCTCCCATTTGGATGAGACATTTACCATATCAATGCTCAGGACAATTCATCCCCCTTAAATCCTTGTTCCCAATACTGAATTAAAAGACCTGTACAAATGTTCATGTTTCTGGTCTAGTAGCTCCCCTCTCTCATTTCTATAATAAAACCATGACAGACAGAGAAACAAGTACCTGGGATTTTTTATTTTTTTTAAACATTCAGGGGCAGCACCAGATATTTTTGGTTGGATGGGCTAAGGAAGTGCTAAAGTCTTCGATGGGGGTGCTCACTTAACATGTTAATTTAGAGCCTGGACTGAGAGTGTCTCCCACCCCCACAAAACGAAGGAGCTCACTGATCAGCTATCATTTTGAACAAAATCATTTCATACATTTTCGTCACCTCAGATTAACAGAGTTTAGTACTTCACTCATTGATTCTACACAGAGTATCCCCAGGTTTGACTACCCCAAATTTCAGCTCTTTTAAAGGCCTTTTGAAGACCACATAAATGAAAATTAACACCAACACTGCACCCATTATGTGGGCGAAAAAACACCAGATCCAATTCTAATAATGACCAACCAACTACAGGTACTATATCTAGAATCTAAGAGCCGCTGTGGATTAAACCTACACTTCCCCATGATCCATCCAACGTCTTCCTCCACTGCACTGATGGTTTTACTCATTGCCGCCAGTGTCAGAAACCAAGTGTGTATACTCCAAATTAGACATTCATTCACGTTACATGATTTTACGTTTTTTTTTTTTCCTCCCTCCGTTTAACATTTAAGACCTTAATTTAGGAACATGAACTTTAAGACCTTTTTAAGACTTTTAAGACCCTGCGGCTACCCTGCTACATAAATCCAACACATTTTTCAGTCCCTGGTGATAGTTTTTTTTGTTTTTGTTTCGATACGGACAGACCATGTATGCCCCTGATTGGCTAGTTCACCTGTCAATCACACCCATCTGAACTCTGGGAGATCAGACTCAGATCTTCGTAAAGTGTTGGAGAAGTGTGTATTCTGGAGCCCAGGCAAGTCTGAGATAATCCCAGGCAGTTGTCTCTGATTGGATACATCTGTCTGTCCCTGGCTATTGCTTCCACACGGTTTTCATTCATAAAAGAACAGTTGTAAAAGCAGCAATTAGAGACGAAAACAAAACGAAAAAGGACTGAATGATACGACCTACAATAGAGTGTATGGAGTAAAAGGTGTTTTCATGAACTAGAAGAAAAATGGTTAGGAAGCAGCCCTTTAGTATAAAAAATATAGAAAAGGGACCAATTATTTTTACATTTTTATTTGTGATTTTCTAACCTGAAAGAGTGGTCCAATGTCCACATCGAAGCCCAGGTCTGCAAATCCTGTAGCGATAACTTTGGCCCCTCTGTCGTGTCCATCCTGCCCCATTTTAGCCACGAGGAGACGGGGGTTACGGCCTTCAAGCTTCTTAAATTCTGCAACTCTAAAGCAAGAACAAAAACAAATACATACACTTTATCATAAGAAAAATATGTACCACTTCGTAATAATACCAGTCAAAAGTTTGGACACGCACTCTCATTCTTTTTTTTTTTTTTCATTTTTACAACTTTCTACATGATATACATATAAAAGACATAAAATATATAAAGTAGAAGATATGAAGAAATATGGAATTATATGGCAAAGGAAAAAAAATGTTGAATAAAGTAAACTAAATATACATCTTTTCAGTGTTGGGAGTAATGTGTTATCAAAGTAACGAGTGACTGTAATGTGTTGCTTTTTGCTGTAACGCAGTAATGTAAGACGTCAGAGGGGAAAAGATGGTAATATTTAACTCGGTGCAAATGTGAGTAATGTATGTCACAATGCTTTTTTAACCTGGACTGAAGTGGTGGGTTTTTTGTTTTTCTTCACACAGATTCGCTAAAATCACTGCGATATCAGCTGCAGTGAAACGCCATCGTTATGGTTTCGAGAGTCGGGATGGGTAGACCGCGAAGACCTTAGTCCTGGTTTAGACCTGGTTTAGTCCTTTAGTCCTGGTTTAGACCTGGTTTAGTCCTGGTTTAGTCCTGGTTTAGACCTGGTTTAGTCCTGGTTTAGTCCTGGTTTAGAACAGGTTTAATCCTGGTTTAGTCCTTGTTTAGTTTTTGTTCAGTCCTGGTTTAGTCCTAGTTCAGTCCTGGTTCAGTCCATATACGGCACAAAAGTTTGGCATCTTCACTCTTCGCTCATCTATGCAGTTATTTTGGTGAAAGTACCTTAAAGTAATGCAAAAGTCGTGTAACGCCTTACATTTTAAATGCAGTAATATTGTAATGTAATAAATTACTTTGAAATGACAGTAACGAGTAATAAATAACGTGTTACAGTTTTGAAGTATTTTTTGCACTTTTAGTCATGTTATAATGCTGTTATCTAATTAAAAACATAGATGGACTTATGTTTTGTTTCATTCACACATGTTTGTCTGTCTACATCTCCAAAGATCAAAATGCTCTTTTCCACCTTGTGATGAAAAATGATAAAGTTGTAGTTTTCAAGTTAACAGCCCCTTTTGAACCTTTTGTTCAGTAAAGATTGACAACTCCAGTGAAATTATCTAAATGAAGTGGAATTGTATTACATGACATCACATGGTGGAACAGAGTGTTTTCATTTTGAGAGAAGAACAACATTATAACAAAGATCATGAAGCAGTAAGTAATATGAGTTTGACTTATGTACCTGTTGAGAGCTAAGGCGATCTCTTCGTGTTCCCCAAACTCGCTGCGATAGGCTCCACTCACCATCCGGGTGCTGGCTTTGTGCTCTCCAAACACTTTTTTCATGGCGTCGGTGATTTCACCCACGGAGCATCTGCAAAACAAATCCGGTTTTATGAATAATTGTACACTATAAAACCTGACATGGATTTTATAGGCTTGTGTAATGTTAAAGCTCATCATTTGGACAGTCAGTCTTCTCTTATAAGAGCCATGAACTCTGGAACACACTACCCACTCAAACAAAAACTATTATCCGGGTTTAAAATGTTCACCTTCACGCTTCGATTTTGGCGTAGAGGTGCACTGTGTATCTTTTCTGGTGGAGGTGCTTCAAATGCTTTTCTCCATGGAGATGTTATTGCTTTTTCTGGAATGTTTCACAGTATGGCATTAAACCTTTCTATCTTCATGGAGACCAAACCAGACCGAGTTACAGGTCAGATCTGTGGAGAGGCGACCCCACTTACAGTCAGAATGTCTGTTTTCTAGGTATTTTTGAGCTCTAAAACCATCTGTAACTGAATAAATGTAAAGTAGAGCTGTTTAATGTCACACTGTGGAACATTCCAGGCAGAGTAATGACAACAAGTAGGGACATACCTTTAACCAAAAAAGCGCACCTTTAAAACAAACCAAACTGTACTCACATGTAAATATTGTGAGAGTGAATGAGCGTTAAACATGTATATTAGCACTGTTTATATTTATAGATGAATAATGTTCTTATTAGGGGTGTAACGATATCCAAGTCTCACGATACGATATCATGACGGTATGAACCTCACGGAACGATATTTATTGCGATATCGTGGGAAAGCTCACGATATGGATAGGAGACTCACAATTAGGAATGTAACAATATCCATATCTCTATGTACGATATTTTCACGATATACATCTCACTGTACGATATCTATTGCGATATTTTGCGGAGGCTAAACAACTAAAACTGTGAATATTCTACTTTTTCCTCTTAAAATGCCTTGACAAGATTTAATCTAAAGAACTAAGACTTAAATGCGTAGAACTTTTATTTCTTCTTGTAGTTCCTCTGTGTTTTGTAGCTATTGCTGCACCATAACTCTTCATTTAAACAAAGAGACTTGTGTTTCGATATATTGTGATGGTCCACGATATTATTGTGAGAACTTTAACGATACAATATCGCGATATTTCCATTATTGTTACATCCCTAGTTCTTATGGAATTTGGATTTTGTTTTATTATGTGCTTAAGTGTAGAAAAGCTCAACCAGGGACGGGAGTTGGACATTTGCATTTGTTATACTCTGTGTGCAATAGTCAACTGTAACTATATCTGACTGCTTTGTCCCTGTCAGATAAATAAATACATACATGAAGGTAGCTTTTCTGCTGTAAGGTCCACCAATTTCTTGCCCCACTGCTTGCACTAAAAATTCCGAAGACCGTGTTAGGTTGAAACATGTGGGCTTGATCATGTAATTAAGGCCTTTGAATGATATTTCCCTTGTGCAGCTCATCCTTTTCGGAGCATCTGGATTATTAAGTGTTTAAGTTTGACACTTGTATCCAAGAGCACCCTCTAGAGCTTTTACCAGAACACTAGAAGCAAACAGCCACATCTGTCTTTTCTGTACAGTATCTCCATGGTGCAAAGACAGCAAATGCCATGTTACCAGTCAGATCTGTGGAAATGCGGGCCAGCTCACAATAACAATAAAGGATTTTCAAGGTTTTTTTCTAGCTATAAAAACAATTTGTAACTGAATAAATGAGAAATACTAGAGAAGTTGAATGGCATACCGTGGAACAGTCCAGAAAAAGCAATAAGTTTGGGATTACCTTAAGGGTTTGGGTTCCATCACCTGCTTGTTTCTATGGAATGTTCCACAGTGTGACATTAAACAGCTCTACTTTACATTTATTCAGTTACAGGTGGTTTTATAGCTCAAAAATACTTTGAAAAACAAGCATTCTGACTGTGAGTGGGGTCGCCTCTCCACAGATCTGATCTTTAACTTGGTCTGGTTTGGTCTCCATGAAGATAGAAAGGTTTAATGTCATACTGTGAAACCTGGAGAAAAGCATTTGGCAGACCCTCCACCAGAAAAGTTACACAATACAGCTTCAAAAAAAGTAAACTGATCTAGGCCCAAAAGTACTGTAGTGTGATGAGTCAAAGGTACTCACATACGACTGTAAATCCTAAATAAAACTGTGCCAAGATATTAGCAACAAAAAGCTTTAAAAGTGTTTCAGATGAGGACATGAACTTTTATGTAACTCACAAATCTAAAATAACAAGCATCTTCTGTGTGTTGACATGCAGCCATTAACTTTTAATGCTTTCTCACAGCAGCGGGCTTTTAAACAGGCCAAAATAACGATGAACAAAATAAAATTCATTAAAAAATAAACACTTTAAGATGTCTGTATTCGTGTGAAACCCCCCAATGTGTGATTGTATTTAATATTTACAATGGCCAGCAGGGGGCATTCTTTCAAACTGTCAGCTCAAGATGTCTAACAAACTAAAACTATGTAGAGTTATTACTTTTACAGCTAGAAAAGAAATGGGACAATGACATCACGCTGGGAGTGTTCTACATGTATCTCTGTGGCGGAATGTTCAGGAGTTTTTCCATGGTTGCACAAACACGGCTAAAAAAAGAAGAAAAAGGCATCTGGTTGGTCTGTTATTGTTCATATCTTGATTTACAGACAAAATATGACAAAAACTACAAGACAGACAGCAGCAGTTAGAGAGATTTTACAATAGAAGTTAACTGGGACCAAATCTCGAAGGATTTAACATCTGGAGACAAGAAGGTAATGGATACTCCACCAGAAAAGTTTGGACATTTCATGGCAAAGTACATTGTAATCAATAGAGAAATCTTGCTCTGGCCCCCATCTAAGGCTCCATCCACACTAGTTCATATTCGTTGTGGATGCAGTGTTCGCTCACAATAATCCAATGGAAAATGACTCCAGAGAGGGAACGATCTGGTGCCTCCAGCTCCCATGAATTCATTTGAGTACAGATCTGATCCAGCACTGTGTGGATGCCTGAAAACGCTAATACACTGATGTAGGTCTATGCACCGCGAAGTAATTCACCACCAAAACACTAAAAGGCTAGAATATATGTCCATTCATTTATACGGTCTATGTGTACGACCTGCAGATGTATAATCTCTGAAAAGTTTAACATGAACCATCTCCAACGTGATAGAAACACAGAACAGACTCACCGTCAGCAGAACATCCCTCTGTCACAGAAAGAACACTCATATTCCACTGAGTCGTGTCCTTTAGTCCGACAGAAGCTGAACCACATCAGCGCACAATAGCGAGCTGTTTTTTTAGGGCTTAGTTTATGCAAATGATCCATGCGGTTTTAAGTTTGTTTCTGTAAAACGTAAACACAAAGCTGTGTGGATAGAGAAGGTTTGCGGGCACAGAAACGATGTGTCTTGATGCAAATAATTTCCGATACGGTGATACGGTGATTCGTTTCAGTGTAAACGTAGCCTGAGAGTATGACAACATTTTATTGGTGGTTTTCAGATTCTAGAAAGTCTCTTGTCTGAGAACAGGCCCCAGGAGAACTATAAAAATGAAAATATAAACATATGGACCTGGCCCGTGCAGCCTCCACAGCCAGCTCCAGAAGGTTCCCCTGTCTCGTTCGGGCACACTCCTCTATAGCAGCGAGGCACCTCTGCGCCACCTCTGGATCTCTGCTCTCACGCACCTAAACACAAAAATAATAATAAAATACTAATGATACCACAATGTTCCAGTGTAAAATGAGGTTAAATGTTCATGTCTTTTCATATGGTTAAAGGTCCTATATTACGCAAAACTGACTCGTGTGAGGATGTTGTTACCTCATCAAAAACATACCTGGAGTCGTGTTTTGTTTCATTCACACATGTTGAGTCATCCTGTCACTATAACATCACAAGGTAAATATGCAGGGTTTGTGTGTTAATCAAGTGTGAATGAAACAAAACACAACTCCAGATCTGTTTTTGACAAGGAAACAACACTATGACATAGACCAGACAATTGTGTAATATTGGGCCTTTAATGATGATGATGAGCCATCCTGTAACTATTCTACTGTGGGGGGATGGGGGGGTCGACCACCTGTTTGTCTCATTGGACATTTTATTGCTTTGCCTGGAATGTTCCACAATATGGCATTAAACATATTTATCTTACATTTATCAAATTACAGGTGTTTTTATTGCCTAGATGTATCACCTGCTTGTTGCAATGCAGATAAATTAATGATTAAAGTTTAATGTCAAAACTGCAGGCATGTCAAACTCAGGCCCAGGGGCCAAATTTGCCCCATGATATCATTATATTTTGCCTGCGAGATCATATCAAATATGTATTAGAGCTGCCTGCCACACAGAGATAGGCTATAGAGACATTATTTATTAAAATGTTATTATTTTATATCATGCTTGTTCTCGATTCAATGTTTAAGCAAAACTATCATTAAACATTTATTTGAATAAGAAAAGGTTTAACATTACATATCGCGAAAGAAGAGAAAACATGCAGATGTTGTTGAAATTTTCAATAAATGTTTAGTTTGGCCCATGACTTAGTCACAGTTTAGAATTTTGGCCTGTGAATTTGAGTTTGACACCCCTGCCATACTGGAACATTCCAGGCAAAGCAATAACATCTCCATGGACACAATGGACACAGGTGGTGAACCCACCCCTTGAAAAGTTATCCAGTGCATCATTAATGGTGTCAGATTTGTCCATTGTATTTGAGCAACATTCGTCTTGCCCCAGTACAGATCAATTGTATAAGCATCTCTTAAAAATAAGAAACATAAAAATAGGTCTGTTATGTGCTGTCTGCATCCACTTAGAAAGCATTTTATTGTCTGCTAATCAGGAAGTGCACATAAGCATGCTAGTTGTTGTTTATTATTAGCTTAATGTGACAAAAAAAACCTCTGCACAGTTTCCTGAGAGTTGTGAAAAGTGTTTATAAGCTCATTCTGGTGAATCATTAGAATTAAGGTTGGGTATCATTAAGTTGCCGATACGATACATACCTCGATGCATGGGCACCGATGCAATGCATATCTCAATATGGTGAGCTTTCGATTCGATTCAGTATAATATATTTCAAGTCGATTCAATACAATTCAATAAAATAATAAAACCTAAATGATGGCTGTGATACTAAAAGTCTTTGTTAAACCACTGCTTGTGCGAAGTTCGTGTGTTGCATAAACGAGCTTCCTTCCTCTGAACAAGCAACAAAACTGCAGCACTGTAACAAAATAATTTAGTAAGATATACCAAAAAATACTCGATATATCCATACAGCAGCCCACGATATTGATACTGTATCATCACATTACACAATACATATGGTAAGTGTACATACGAGTAAGTGAACTAAACCATGTAAATTAAATCGTTCTGTTTTCCACATTTTCAAGATGATAAAAATCACGTAAAGATCCTTTCATTGTAAAGGTTCATTATGTCATTTTTTCAGGTCAGATGTGTGAAGTGGAGGCAACACTACAGTTTACATAATGTCTCTCGGTATTATAGATAAATATGAATGACTTTAAATATATTCATGTTTGGTATCACGGTGGAGGCAGTCATCTTCTGTGTGGGTTTGCCAAGTCTTCTCAGTGGATATTGAACTGTAATGACATTTCTGTGCTCAGTGACCTTCTGAAAATGCCACAATGTGTTACCAATTACACAGGTGCGGTGTCAGTCTCCATCCAGTTCACCTGTGATTATGAATGCCTGTTTGAATACCTGACAAATGATTCATGCTAATGTCATACTCTTAAGAGCGTCATTATCCACAGCTCTTTGGAGGTGAAATTATACTTGACAATTCTGATGTTAATTAGAGGGCAAGCGGCTTATGCAGTTGCAAACATATTATTATAAAGTTAATCAGATAATATTATGAGGTAATGTTTTCAAACTAAGCCTGTTAATGAGAATTAGAGTAGAGTTCATTTCTCTGTTTGTTTTAATACACGCGTAGACAGAACATGCAAAGTCCACACAGAACGGACCCTTCTAGTAATCGAACCTAGGACTTAAAGGTGCACTATGTAACTTTTTGGTTGGGGGTCCGTCACCTGTTTGTTTCTATGGAGATGTCATTGCTCTGCCTGAAATTTTCCACAGTATGACATTAAACAGCTCTACTTCATTTATTTATCGTCATTTACCTACATTTATTCAATTACAGGTGGTTTTATAGCTTGAAAATTTCTGGAAATACAGGAATTCTGAAATATGAAATATATGGATCAAGATGTATGGATTTTTTTAGCAAAGAGGAAAAAAGTTCAATAACAAAACTATATATTCATATTTTATATTCCAGATCTTCAAAGTATCATCCCTTTGTTTTGTTGACAGTGCTGCAAATCCTTGGCCTTTTCTCAGATATCTTTATGATAATCCTGAAATGATTTTCACTTCAAAGTTGTGGCTCGACAGGGTCAAGTATGCCAATAGTGCAAAGCACTGATCAAAGAAAAGAATGACTTTTTTTTTTTTAAAAATCTAAAATCTAATACAAGTTTTGAGTAGTTTTGAGTTGATTTTATGTTTACTACATTCCCAATACAGTAAGTTAACTCATAGTTTTGATGCTTTAAATGAGAATCTACAATGTAAATAATAAAGAAAATAAAGACAAAATAAAATAATGAAAAAGTGTCCAAACTTTTCAATGGTAGTGTACAAATATGAAATTGTTTTTCAGTGCCCAATAAATGCCTCCTTTCCTTTATTAAAATCAAGAACAGGCCAGATGAGTGAAATGGGTCTGGGGAAATTGGGCTGGATAATTCAGATATAATCAAACTGAGATCTAATCTAAGTTGTTGTTGTTGTTTAATTGAGAGGTCCACAGCCAGTCCTCTGTCACTAAAAGCATGCGGTTTGGAGCAGGTTTCAGGAAGAAAATTGTCTATTTTTGTGTTTAATATCACAGATTAAAAGTGTGGCTTGGTCATGTTTATGAAATCAAGCCTTTAAACATACAGTCCTCACAGTGTATTTAGCCATAGCTAAAAGAAAAGAGCACCGTGTATAGGGGAAGCCTGCATTTTCATGGGACTCTGTCTGTTTGAAGCACGTCGTCATGGAGATAAATTCTCTGATCAGCTGATGGACTCTCACATGGCTCATGATGTGTGGTGTAAATGAACAAGACCGACTCAAAATTAAAGTAAACAGAACCTTAATCTAGTGCAAACTAGGGATGTAACAATAACCAAAATATCGTGATATCGTCTCGTCAAAAGTCTCACAATAATATCATGGGCCATCACAATATATCAAAGTCTTTTTGTTGAAATGAATAGTTATGTGTTTTTATAGCTTTCTTTGTGATTTTAATGTCTTTCTTATTCTGTAAAGCACATTGTTATTACTTTGTGTATGAATTGTGCTATGCAAATAAAATTGCCACGCCTTGGTGCAACAGTAGCTAAAAAACTACATAGACCATGATCCTTTGGTGTTGTCCTTAATACTTCATATTATAACAGTACAAGGCTTTTAAAAGGAAAAGTGGCATATTCACAATTTTGTAACTCTCCACAATATAACGCAATAAATATCAAACTGTGAGATGCATATCGTGAAAATATGGTATCGAGGGATTTTGATATCGTTATATAACTAGTGTGCACTGGGGTCAGTCCACAGAGCACAGTAACGTGTGAAAATGAGAACTACAACACAAAGTTACCTACGTCACCTTAAACTTTATATGAGCTGTCAGTCGTTTCTTCTACTGCTGTAAATTGAAATTCATTAATTCATACTTATTCTTGTCACAACCTCAAATATCTTCAATCTACAAAATTTGACCCCTTCATACAGTTCAATATTATCCTTTGACCCACTAAATGTCCGTGTCTCACCTTTTTTAGCTTTTCAATCTGTTTCTGTCGTACTGCGGTATTATCTATAGCCAGCACTTCCACCGTCTCCTCCTTCTCCAGACGGTATTTATTCACACCGACGATGACCTCCGAACCTGCAGGGGGAGCACACGGAGAGACAAGGCAGATTCATATTAGTACAAGAATAACCAGACTGGTCGAGAATATATTGGGAATCTCTCTTGAAACTTTTAAACTAGACAAATATGGATCTGCCTCCAAGCTCTTGTTAATGGCTTTGGGACCAGAGCCCACGGAGTTCCAGAAGGACGCCATGAAATATTTGAATATTCGCCTCAACGCCTTCAGGAACCGGCCCAGAACTGGATTCACACAACTCTTCTCGCAATGGGACAAGCCCAAGAAGAGGGTCTCATAGACAGCGCCCAAATGTGTCCTTTAAGTTTCCATTTATTTCAGATTACAAATACTGGATGGCAGTAAAGTTTCAAAACTGTTGAAACCTGCGACTCCTTTTTGACCATAGACCATTCAAACAAGGATTACATCAACAGATTTAGAGGAATGCATTTAAAAAAAAGAAAGAAAACTGTACCCCCTCCCCCCAAAAATCACTGTTGCTCTGTTTGTTGTGTCTTTCTTCTCTCATAAAGCAGCATGAAGACAACAGGCCAAGCTACAAGTCATATCTGTGGAAATGCGACCTCCCCCTCTTGTAAAAATGCAAATTTTTTCAAAGGTTTTTTGAGAAATTTAAACACCTGTAATTCAATAAAAGCCTGATAGATGGATGCCATATTTTGAAACATTCCAGTCAAAGCATTAACATCTCCATGGAGACAAGTAGAACCCTCTAGGTGGAAAATTGAAGTCTGGCTTATGTTTAGACTTAATATATATGTATACCGCATTTTTCGGACCGTAAGTCGCTCCAGAGTATAAGTCCCACCAGCCAAAAAATGCGCAATGAAGAAAAAAAAAACATATATAAATTGCACTTTTTGGGGAAATTTATTTTATAAAATCAGAGACCAGGTACCGACATGTCATGTTGAAAGTCAAGTTCTAGTAATAACAACAGAACAACAGACTGAAAAGGCGTTAATATGTTAATGTAACATATTAACAGTTATTCAGATAATTATAGCACAAACAACAGAACATAAGTTTACCAAACTCACGATCTCACTCCAAATCACTAAATCCACTGAATTCTTCATCCTCGTTGTCACTTCTGCACGACATCTGGAGATAAACCATAGATCCATGACGTAAACAGAGTGCCACTTCCTCTTCTGTGTAGTTGTCATCAGACTCAGCATCAGTTAGAATTATTCCGGTCTTTCTGAATCCCGACAGGATGGTTTTGGTGTCACTGAAGTCCAGGCTTTGTCCATCCATCCAGTGACTTCACGAAAGTTATATGGTGCACCCGCCTGGTTGTCGTGACGCTGTGTTCTCCATCCCTGCTTTCCACCAGTCCCTCACAAGTTTCTCACTCGCTCCAAACTTTCTTTCTGCTGCTCGATTACTGTTTTCTGCTGAATATTTCACTATTTGCAACAAGACAGTGGCTTTTTCTACAGGAGGCATGCACAGTAGAGTGAAGTGACAGTGGTACAGGAGTAATAGTAGTAGACACTGACACACAAGCCTAGAGCGCCCTCTCACAGCTGTCAGTCTGAAATTTTTAATATATAAGTCGCACTGGAGTATAAGTTGCAGGAATCACCCAAACTATGAAAAAAGTAGTCCGAAGTAGTGTAGTCCAAAAAATACGGTATATATATTTTTTTATTTAAAGATGTACTTTATAGAAATACTTTTTACTTCAGCTGTTTTGCAGAATAACACAGGGTATTTTGTTGTTTGTGGAGGAAACTATGGTTCTTCAAAAATTGCAGACTTTGTGATTGTGAAATTGCAATTTGAATTAAATGACTAATCTTGCAGCTCTAATTTAGCTGTTTTTTATGTTGTCAGCCTTTTTGGAATCTAGTAGAACGTCAAAGCAGTTACGCAGTGCTTGAACTACTTTCACTGAATACTTCATTAATCTACTCTTAGTATTTTCAATTAACTCTACGCTTGGTTAACTAAAATTATGTTAACTACTATCAACTTTCTCCATGACAAATTGGATGTGGCCCATTTCTCAGTAACTCCTATGAGAAAAAAAAAAACACAACTACTGCGAGACTACATAAAACTGAACCAAAAAAAAAAACAAAAAAAAACAATTATTCAGCAAGCATCAGATGTGAGTCACAACCAGAATTCAAACCAAAAACCCAACTGTATATGTATGCATCACTGCTATTTTAAAATAACATCAAACTGATGCTCGTTTTTCCATGATTTTCCCAAACATGGACACGATTGGAAAAAGTGTTGTAGCCTGACATGATCCCTGGGTTATTTATACTGCAATGCTCCAAATGTGCTCCAAATAACATGGAAGTGCTGATCCATCTCGGCCTGCTTCAGAGATGGGTGAAGATTCCACGGGGGAAATCTCGTGGGGACGGAGCTGCATCTGAAAACACGGCTATGACACCACTGCCCTACAAGCTCCAGAAGGCACCAGATCTCAGCCCAGATATGTTCACTCACTATTCTTCTACTTCATATTACAATTTCAGACGGATTGTAGGAACCAAAGTATATTTTAAAGTGCCTGAACCCGATGTTTTCCTCCATACCCATATGGAAAATACACCATTTTAACATGTTTTATCTGAATCCTAAAAGATTTGTATATGACAGTGAAAACTGTTACAAGATCTTTGGTAAATATTTGCAGCATGAAACATATAATACTTTGTAACCTGCAAGGTCTGAATATGACACTAATCCCACAAATAATATCCTTACAAGTGTTGGAGAAAGGTCGTTTTTACCACAGAATCATAGAAAAACAAGTGAAATGATGATTGTTTCTTTAAACTCAATTGCTGTGTTGTGTGTGTATGAGATACCACTCTTCCACTGATCTCACAGTGAACATACAGGCTGTAAAAAGATTTTTACTCTGCAAAATCCTGTAGCCCCTTTCCTTGTTGCCTCTTCGAAGTTGCCATTTAATTGTGGGATACCATAGTATTTGTAACTGTGCTCAAGATCTGCTATCGTTCCCTCCACAAGTAATAGCTGGTTGTCTTAACAGGTAAGTCACTGGACTTTCACATGTTGACCTGGGTTCAAATCCCCCTGCTGACTCAGATTTAGTTTAGTTTTTTTAACTGCAACATATAATTAAAGAATACAAACATTACATGGAACATACAAAGAAAATGTAGTTTATCATGCACATTACCTGTAAATGTCATGCAAAATGTTCACTTTATCTTTACTAGTTTTTCATAATATAGTTGTATGAGAAAAATGCAAAAGGGGGAAACTTTCAGGAGAAAACCACACATGACACATATTAACCTTATATAAAGATTTACTACAAAGACAGTGGTAAATTCTTACATTTTTTTCCAGTTTTTTTTTCCATATGGGAATATTTGATCAGAATTTGTCTTGCCCTAGTAGAGATGTATTGTATAAGATCAAAATATATGCTGTGAACTGTCTGCACCTTATTATCAAGGGTTATATTGTTCAAGGAATAATAAGGAAGTGCGTGTTAGCATGAACTGAACTACCTGTGGTGAATAATTCGGATACTAGTGCTGTTTTTAAAGACAGGTACAGCGCTTTTAATGAAATATCTAAACTGAAAACCCTCTACGGTGGACAAAAAAAATCAATACTAATAAACTAACTGACACCAAAACTATTTTCAAAACTAGTTACTCATTTAAACAAGTATTTATACTGTTAAAAAACAAGCATAGAAACGCACAGGGCCAAACTGAACCTTCCCTGAATAGAATCAGAATGATCTGTATCAGAACTACGAGAAACACCACAAGATAATATGAGAGAGACGAGTATTATTTGGTCTGGTGAATGATATTGTATTTGCATAAAAATGTGTTTTTGCTGTACTGAAATTGGGACAGAGTATCAAGCCTTTTCTGTATTATCATCACTGTGTTTGAATTTGATAAATGATGAAAATGGCTTGTCATATGAATCATTTCAACTGACAAATTCTACGCTTTTGTAATTGAATAATGCCACAACTTGGAAGTAAAAAAATCTTTCAGTTAACCAGATATAACTCATGACACATTATCTGCAATTTGGTATTAATAAGGCAAAATTCTCTCATAAAACAGTTCAATGTTAAAGGTTCACTATGTAACTTTTTGGTTGGTTCGTCACCTGCTTGTTTCTATAGGTATGTCATTATTTGATCATTTCATCTCAATTCACCCAAAAAAATAGCAAGTTGAACATTCACATTGTCCAGTTGCAAAGAAATTTGGTGTATAAGTCATAGCCAAGGAAGCCAAAATCTCAAATTTTGGCATGATTGGAATAACGATTGCTGAGATATTGCAATTTTTCACTTTTTTGCGTGATCGCCAAATTTCAAATTGCATTTACTCAGCAACTACTGATCCGATATCAAAAACCAAGGTATCTCTGGAAATGATTATTTTTGCATTTGAGTACTTTTGAGATGAATTACATTTTGACCTTGAAACCGACCTCAATGACACCAATAGAAGAAATGTAGCCCTATATGTCTACTACAACATATAAAACATCTGGAGGGGTTTTCTTTTTTTATTTTCACACAAATTTACCTAGAAGTTGACTTACCCCCATCTTAAGACATGCCAAATATCCATTCAGTGTATATGGCTGTACATTTATATACACAGAGTCTAAGTTGATATACGCTAAGAAAAACTGTCACATAGTACCAAAAGTCATTGAAAATTTCACAAACTTCACAACTGTCTTTGTTTCATGAAATCAGAATATTTACAGATTTGGATTCCTTATGATTTCCAGAGATACCTTCATTTTTTTTATATCGGACCTGTAGTTGCTGAATAAATTCGGCGACCACGCAAAAAAGTGAAAAAAATTAATTGTGATATCTCAAAAACCGTTGGTCCGATCAAACTAAAATTAGAAAGTTTGGCTTTTCTGGCTAAGATTTACCTATATAGGAAGTTTCATCAAAATTTGACAAAGTAGGGTTTACTCATTGGGTGAACTGAGGTGA